TTTCCTTTTTTAATTTTGAAACCTGTTGACATACATAAATATGTGCGAAACCTGCAATTGTTATACGACGACTTTGCGTCGCAGTATTAATTGATTACTATTTTATTTTATATTAAATAAGCGTTCAAATTCTTTAACCGATATGCGTTGGCCTTGCGGAGCATATTTGTTTTTATTCTTTCATGTTTCCTCTGTAACGATTGTTTACTTTCTATTATGTTATCACTGAAGATGGCCGAAATAAATGTGCCAAAACGTATGAATTGATAATTTGGTTAATTATTATTTTTTGAGCATCTAACACCTGGCTCTGGGTCAACATAGCTATTTTACATTTTAATAATATTTAAAAAATTATAAATGTATCAGGCTCTGATGATTGTTAAAATCAATAATATTCGATAGGAGCGTAAACAGCCAACAGCCGGATATTCGTGCGAAGGTTATCGTATATTAGTTTATAACCATTAAACATTAACATTAAAAATAAACGTTTCAGCCTGTCATCAAGCCTTCATCAGTATTATTACAGAAACCAATAAACCGCAACGCATTAATTAAATACAAAACAAGAAGCAAATTAACATAATTAACCAAAGAGTAGTTCAACCACGTTAGAACTGTAATACAAAAAAAAAAACCAAATGAGAATTCGTGTTACAAAATGAGCGCAAACCGAAGAAAAAAATAATTTTTACATACTTGTAGTAAAGCACTTGTAGAAAGCTCATCCACCCAAGATGGAACGAGGTAGGAGAGAAACCTTAGATCCATATTATATGATGGTTAAAATCTTAATGTACGCAATGGAATAACGACAATATTCAAGTGATGAAGGAATAGTGAGAGGGCGGCGGGGGAGGGGGGGACGGAAAGAATAAGGAGTATGGAGGGGAAGGTATTATTACCTAGGAGGGGATGAAAGGAATTAATATATAAAAAGGAAACAATACAATTATAAAGGGGGAAACAAATTAATAATGGGGAGATAAAAATCTGGTAACCGTTCGGTGTCATTTTGATTGTTTAAGCCTGCACGTTGTCTTTTTATAAACACCATTTCGGATATCATTCTCTTTCCATAAGAAGGTTCCCCGTCCAAAATCTTCACATTGTCCCAGTCAAAATCGTGAGAAAAATCTATTTTATGTTTAGAAATAACAGAGGGGGAACAGCTCTTTTTTATGTCGTTCTTGTGTTCTTTGATTCTGGTATTAAGTTGTCTTTTTGTCTGTCCCACGTAAGTTTTCTCACAATCTCGACACGAAATCATGTATATGACCTGACAATGAGAAAATTTATTCAACTTGTCTTTGCCCGTCCTTATAAATTGTGTTAGGTTGTTAGGAATTGAATACGATAATTTTAAGTTGAAGCTTCTGGCTATGGAGTTGAAGTCTTTGTAAACCGATGGAATGTACGGAATAATAAAAAAAGTCTTGAAGTCATTATTGTCACAATTATTGTTTAAACAATTACTAGTTAAATTAATGTCACTTGATTTTTTATGGATTAAAAACTTAAGCCTATTATGTATAGTCGAAAAAATAAAATTGATTGGAAAACAGTTATTTAGTAGGATATTAATTGCCATTGTAAAATTCTTGTTGTGAAATTCAGAATGGGAAAGTAAAAAAATTCTATCGGTTAAACTTATAATAGTCCCTTTTTTGTGCGATATCGAATAGTGGGAATGAAAATTTAATAGTCTACCTGAAGAAGTAGGTTTCTGAAACCATCTTGGGTGGATGAGTTTTCTACAAGTGCTTTACTACAAGTATGTAAAAATTATTTTTTTCTTCGGTTTGCGCTCATTTTGTAACACGAATTCTCATTTGGTTCTTTTTTTGTATTACAGTTCTAACGTGGTTGAACTACTCTTCGGTTAATTATGTTAATTTGCTTCTTATTTTGTATTTAATTAATGCGTTGCGGTTTATTGGTTTCTGTAATAATACTGATAAAGGCCTGATGACAGGCTGAAACGTTTGTTTTTAATGTAAATGTTTAATGGTTATAAACTAATATACGATAATCTTCGCACGAATATCCGGCTGTTGGCTCTTTACGCTCCTATCGAATATTATTGATTTTAACAAAAACAGTGATTTTTGCCATTTTCAAAGCGTTATTATGGCTGACTCAAATAAATTTTTAACATTCTGTCTGCGGCATCTTAAAGCGTCATACTTTGTCTTCAAATTGCGATTTTTTTTATTCCTGTACGATTTTTTTTCGCCGAGTTATGAAGGTTTGAAGATGGCAACTTTTCGATGATGAGACTATGATTTCGGTATGCACTGCCAAAATGGTGAAAAATCGACAATTCGGTGAATTATAAAGTAAATATTAAAAAAATTTTTATATATATAAT